AATGTCATTTCTTTCCATTCTCAGAAGCATTGGTTTACACAGTCATCTTCAGCCAAGTATTTCACAGGACTGCTCAAATCTCAAAATAAACTACAAACCAAAGTTTCTAAGCATTTCCCTTAGTCTTTAACAAACTTTTCTTGACCTTCTAAACGAGAGTTTGTTTATCTTGTTTGGTTGTAACACCCTACCAATGTACACAAAAAAAACATTCAATTTAAACTAAGGCCACAAAAGCTATTCTTTAAAAAAATTACCATGGCTACAGAAATACTTACAAGTTACTTATTAACTTTAGACACACAGAAAACCCACATGTAACTAACTCAAAAAAAACAAAATACAAGCTTATATTATGTTAAAAAATATAAATAACATTCCTCATCACACTTGTCCCTATCTTCCAGCAAGACCAATAAGACATTGTATCTAATACTGTTGAGAAACAAACGTCTGTGATGATAGAGATAACAAGGTGTACAGCTGGATGAACACAGCAGGCCAAGCAGCATCAGAGGAGCAGGAAAGCTGACGTTTTGGGTCTAGACCCTTCTTCAGAAATGGGGGAGGGGAAGGGGATTCTGAAATAAATAGGGAGAGAGGGGGAGAGGAATAGAAGATGGATAAAGGAGAAGATAAGTGGAGAGGAGATAGACAGGTCAAAGAGGCGGGGGTAGAGCCAGTAAAGGTGAGTTTGGTGGGGAGTTAGGGAGGGGATAGGTCAGTCCAGGGAGGACGGACAGGTCAAGGGGGCGGGATGAGGTTAGTAGGTAGGAGATGGGGGTGGGGCTTGAGATGGGGGGAGTGGGTAAGTGAGAGGAAGGACAGGTTAGGGAGGCGGGGATGAGCTGGGCTGGTTTTGGGATGCGGTTGGGGGAGGAGAGATTTTGAAGCTTGTGAGGTCCACGTTGATACCATTGGGCTGCAGGGTTCCCAAGCGAAATATGAGGTGCTGTTCCTGCAACCTTCGGGTGGCATCGCTGTGGCACTGGAGGAGGCCCAGGATGGACATGTCGTCCAAGGAGTGGGAGGGGGAGTTGAATTGGTTCGCGACTGGGAGGTGCAGTCGTTTGTTGCGAACTGAGCGTAGGTGTTCCACAAAGCGGTCCCCAAGCCACCGCTTGATTTCCCCGATGTAGAAGAGGCCACATTGGGAACAGCGGATATAGTATACCACATTAGCAGATGTGCAGGTGAACATCTGTTTGATGTGGAAGGTCTTCTTGGGACCTGGGATTGGGGTGAGGAGGGAAGTGTAGGGGCAGGTGTAGCACTTCCTGCGGTTGCAGGGAAAATGCCGGGGCTGGTAGGGCTGGTGGGGAGTGTGGAGCAGATAAGGGAGTCACGGAGAGAGTGGTCCCTCCGGAAAGCAGATAAGGGTGGGGAGGGAAAAATGTCTTTGGTAGTGGGGTCAGATTGCAGATGGCGGAAGTGCCGGAGGATGATGCATTGGACCCGGAGGTTGGTGGGGTGGTACGTGAGGACAAGGGGGATTCTGTTTTGGTTGTTATTGCGGGTAGGGGGTGTGAGGGACGAGTTGCGGGAAATACGAGAGACATGGTCGAGGGCGTTTTCGACCACTGTGGAGGGGAAGTTGCAGTCCTTGAAAAACAAGGACATCTGGGTTGTCAGGGAGTGGAATGCCTCATCTCGGGAGCAGATGCGGCGGAGGTGAAGGAATTGGGAATAGGGGATGGCATTTTTGCAGAAAGGTGGGTGAGAGGAGGTGTATTCTAGGTAGCTGTGGGAGTTGGTAGGCTTGAAATGGTTATCGGTTTCCAGGTGGTTGCCAGAGATGGAAACAGAGAGGTCCAGGAAGGAGAGAGAGGAATCAGAGATGGTCCAGGTGAACTTAAGGTTGGAGTGGAAGGTGTTCGTGAAGTGGATGAACTGTTTGAGCTCCTCGTGGGAGCACGAGGCAGTGCCGATACAGTCATCGATTTAACGGAGGAAAAGGTGGGGGATAGGGCCAGTGTAGCTTCGGAAGAGGGATTGTTCCACGTATCCTACAAAGAGGCAGGCATAGCTTGGGCCCATGCGGGTACCCATGGCCACCCCCTTTGTCTGTAGGAAGTAGGAGGAATTGAAGGAGAAATTGTTAAGGGTGAGGACAAGTTCAGCTGAGCGGATGAGGGTGTCAGTGGAGGGGGACTGCGGGACAGGAAGAAGCGGAGTGCCTTTAGGCCATCTGCATGGGGAATGCAAGTGTATAGGGACTGGACGTCCATGGTAAAGATGAGGTGTTGGGGTCCAGGGAATCGCAAGTTTTGGAGGAGGTGGAGGTGTGGGTGATGTCACGGACATAGGTGGGGAGTTCCTGGACCAAGGGGGAGAAAATGGAGTCAAGATAATTGGAGATAAGTTCAGTGGGGCAGGAGCAGGTGGAGACAATGGGTCGACCAGGGCAGTCAGGTTTGTGGATTTTGGGAAGGAGATAGAAACAGGTGATGCGGGGTTGGGGAACGATGAAGTTGGAGGCTGTGGGTGGGAGGTCACCTGAAGTGATGAGGTTGTGGATGGTTTGGGAGATGATGTTTTGGTGGTCGGGTGTGGGGTCATGATCAAGGAGGCGCTAGGAGGAGGTGTCCAAGAGCTGGCATCTGGCCTCGGAATAGTTCTTTTGTAGGAATGAAGGATCCTCATCATTTAGTGGAAGCTGAGCAAAATTGTGACTCAACTACAGACTTCCACCAGATAATTCAAACAAGAAATAATCTTACTGGATTATGAGTTTACATAGCAAAAGAATATGTTGAAGTCCAAATGTTTATGACAATACTTTCAAAGTGAGGAGAAAATTAGGAGAACCATCCATAGGAGACGATTTCAAATAGAAGACTCAAACTAGTACAATAATAGGAATTAAACTAAAATAGAAGACTTGCATACAGATTAGAAAAGAGTAATTTGTCCAATGCACAATGACACAATGTTCAGTACCATCTGCAACTCCTCAGGTACTGAAGCAGTCAGTATCTATATGCAATGAGATCTGGGCCAACACTCGGCTGAAAAGTGTACTGTGGATGTTAATTATTGCAGTGCCAAGCAATGACTAGCTCCAACAATAAAAAAACCCAGACAACAAGGTGCAGGGCTGGATGAACACAGCAGGCCAAGCAGCAT